TCACCAACCCTGGCACCCACTGACTCAAACTAATCTACACCGAACCTGCCCTGACACAAAGCAACTCTCCTGAGCTTCACTGATCAAATCCACAGAAATTCATTCCCAACAATTCTACTGATCCAACCTTGCCCCCACTGATTCAACTACACTATAACTGAATTGAACCTGCCCTGACACAAGCCAACTCTTAAACACCCTCTCAACTAAACACCAACAAATCCAACTCTCAACTACACTAAGGAAACACTGACAGAAACCAACTCTCAACAACTGTACTGAACTCACTCTGACCAGTCCAACTCTGAACCAATCTCAGCATAAACTGACTCAACAACTACACTAAACCAGTCTGAGCAAAACCTGACTCATGGCAGCCACACTGACCCAGACCCAGCAGCGACCGACTCTCGGCAGCTACACATTGCCAGTTAATAGCAAACCAGCTGTGCAAACTGCTCCGACCCAGCCTTGGCAGCGACTGACCCGAGGCAACTGCACTGAGCCAGGCCTGAAATACTCTAACCCTCAACAACTGCACTCGACCGGCCTCGACAGACAGTCACCGACTCTACACCTGCCCTAAACCAACTTACACACAAACTGATGCTCCACAACCAGCCCCGACACAAACCGACTCTCAGCCATTAAACCCAACCAACCTCGACAGACACTGGCTCTGGGAAAATAAACCAACCTTCACACAAAGACTCTATATTACACAACACACAAATACACTCTGATCAAATTCTTGTACTAGATGTTATCAAATCTAATCTTACACCATCTAACTACAGTGTCTGACTTCAATCTCTGCGATTCATACAATCTGTACCAATTGATTCTACCCTCAATCCAAAATGTTACCTCACCACATTAACCCAGCAACATCTCCTCCGTCCAGTCCCTCTCAAACCTCAGTCTGTTATTAACAACTTCTAATCTCAACCTCTAGTGTGAACCAGAGTTTGGCTCATATGCGCTCAGATGTCAGACATCCTGCATGAAGTCCACATAGTGTTGCCAAACCGCTGGAGTGTGGAAAGGTGCAAGAGAGAAAGATAGAACCTTGGCCGTCATCACAGAGTTCCCACTTGTACAGACTTACCTTATCCTCCAACAAGTCCCAAGGAGCTAGAGAGACAAACAGGGCGTGAGCTTCAGCCATCATCTTAAGGTTCCAGGAATCTTCACTTACCACATAGTACAACACGTCCGTCAGACACCACTGTAAACTATGAGGCTCTTTACCTACATTGAACCAGCCCCAACACTAACCAACTCACGATCTACACTGAACCAGCCCCGACACAAACCAACTCTGCACTGAACCAATCTCAGGATAAAATGCATCAATAACAGATGATTCTCTGACATACACTAACTCTCTACAACTGCCCTGAAACAGTCTCTACAGATATTGACTCTGTACCTTGTCACAATATGTTAACTCTGGGTGAGAATTACATGTTGTCTAAGTGTACTCTGGTAGGAGAGATTCTTCTCGTCTCAGTTTTGCAGGTTGTGAGGCAGTAACCAATAGAGTAACATTTCCCCAAACTAAAACCTCTTGCCAGTTCCTGAAATTCAGAGTTTGTATAATTAGTAATGTTAGAATGAAGTGTCAGTGAAAACTCCAAACCTCAACAACTCTGGTTCATCTCCACCTCCTCCCTTTTATACCTCAAATGTGCCCAAGACACATTTTTACCCAATTAATCCTGAGCACCTGGAACCCCTCTCTCTGATTCCAAACATTCACCCCATTTTGATTAGCCCTTCACTACCTCACAACCTGCACTGAACTAACTCGGACACAAACTAATGATCGACAACTGCTCCAAACCATCCCTGGCATAAACTGACTCAACCAGTAAACTGAACCAACTTGGACAGATACTGCCTCTGGGCAAACAAAACCAACCTTCAGCTACTCTATATTACCCAAGATCAAGCAAATTTACTGTTTCTTCAGAAGATTATAACAGATACCATCAAATCTGATCTTGCACCAAACAGTCGTGGATTGAAAATGATCAATTTATTGTTTTGTTTTTTGGAGGGATTATTAGGTGCATGGAGTAACAAAACTTACCCAAGGTTTCACCCTCCCTGAAATTGAACCCAGGTGTCTCGCTTGCAAGGCGAGTGCTCTACCCACTGAGCTACAGGACTCCACCGAACAACTGAGCTCAGCCCATTAATCACTTACATCTCCCACAATTTTCAGCTGCATCTCATCTCCAAACAATTCCTAGTTGGACGTCTTTGACCAAAATCTAGATGATGGTCTAAAGACTAACACTGCAAAATAATAATTCCATACAGTGATTCTGTCATCGCCATCTGAGACGAGTTACACAATACAAAGAAAAGTCGGACAGGTCAAGAGATGTTCACATTAAACCGAGATGGATGGCAAAAAGGTCTCCAAAGTTCATTGATGTATGAATACCCAGTGATCACCTGGTATGAACAAGTATTAGACCAGCATTCAAAAGCAACACAAACCTGCACTGGCTCCAGCACAACCTCTGACTGAAGCGGAAACAACAGAACTAAATATTGAGATAAGAGCAAAGGTTAGAAAACCAAAAGTGATTACTAACTGAGTTGCTCCAGAAAAACAGTTTAAGAAAATAAACACAAAAAAGCAAGAAAAACACTATTGGGCAAGTGAGGACAGTTACCCTAATAAGTGTCTGTGACAAATACACATAGTATAAAAATAAAACAAGTTAGGAACACAAATTTAGCTTAAAGCATCTGATGTAGTAGCCATTACAGAGACCTGGCTACAAGTTGGGCATTACTGGGAGCTAAAATTCCAGGCTGTAGGATCTTCAGAAAGGATAGGGAAATTGGGAAAGGAGGGGAGCAATATGGATAACATTCAAATATAACAGTAGATAGAAAGGACTTCAATAAAGGTGATCAGGCCATAGAAACACTATGGATAGAATTAAGGAACAGCAAAGGAGGGAAGACTCTGGTGGGAGTTGTCTACAGATTCCAGATAGAAACAAAATAACAATTTTTGAGACAAATTACATAATAAAAGAAGAAGTCAAACTGGCCAAGAGTTGCTCACAATTGACATGGAGAGCAGGTGGACAATGATAATGTCTCTGAAGCTCACAGGACTGACAACACCCAAGGTTTGGACAACTTACCTTCACAAACATTACTGACAATTTACAGCCGACCAGATGGTTCTCACAAATACAGACTTAACAGATATAGTCCATAGAGAGACCAGCCTGAGCCAAGCTCCACCACACGCAAACTGACCATTTCACTGCTCTGAACCACAAACCTCCAGCAACTCATCTACTCTCTCTAAGCTGATGAGGTGACTCCTTCCTCCAATTGTTTGACTGAGCTCAGGCTCTGGGTTAAATACACAAAGGTTCAGGTTTGACACGTGGCCAATGAGCGAATCACATTCCTCACAAGGTCCAGTTGAAGGGAACATCCTCCCTTCACAGCTGCAAACAGTCAGTATCATCACATGGGCTGTTGGCTATTTACTTGTTCAGAGAATTCACAGGGTTGATACCATTACTTTACAGCATTCACACTTTCCTAGAATTTCCTATTAATGCTTCACACACCATCAAATCAGATCACAAACATTAATAGGTGTGAGAGAGAAGGAGAAAGATTGGAATAGATAGAAGGTGTGACAGAGAGGAGAAAGTTTGTGAAAGAGAAAACGAGCGAAACTGTGATAGAGAGGCGAAAGACTGATCGAGAGAAGAAGTATTCTGACAGAAAGTGTGATAGAGAGGAGAAAGATTGTAATAAAGAGAGAAAGTGTGAAATAGAGGAGAAAGATTGTGATAGAGAGAGGAGCCCCTGGAGCTCTTGGAGCTCCTGGAGCACCTGGAGCTGCTGGAGCCCCTGGAGATCTTGGAGCCCCTGGAGATCTTGGAGCCCCTGGAGCTCCTGGAGCCCCTTGTGGTCCTGGAGCCCCTGGAGCTGATGGAGCCCCTGGAGCTGATGGAGCCCCCACAGCTCTTGGAGCCCCCGGAGCTCTTGGAGCCGTTGGAGCTCTTGGAGCCGCTGGAGCTCTTGGAGCCCCTGCAGCTCTTGGAGGCCTTGGAGCTCTTGGAGGCCCTGGAGCTCTTGGAGGCCCTGGAGCCCTTGGAGCCCTTGGAGCCCCTGGAGCCCTTAGAGGCCCTGGAGACCTTGGAGGTCTTGGAGCCCCTGGAGCTCTTGGAGCCCTTAGAGCTCTTGGAGCCCCTGGAGCCCCTGGAGCCCTTGGAGCCCCTGGAGCACTTGGAGCCCCTGGAGCTCTTGGAGCCCCTGGAGCTCCTGGAGCCCCTGGAGCCCCTGGAGCTCCGGGAGCCCCTGGAGCTCCTGGAGCCCTTGGAGCCAGTGGAGCTCTTGGAGCCCCTGGAGCCGCTGGAGCCCCTGGAGCCGCTGGAGCTCTTGGAGCCCCTGGAGCTCCTGGAGCCCATGGAGCTGCTGGAGCGCGTGGAGCACCAGGAGCTCCTGGAGCTCCTTGTGGTCCTGGAGACCCTGGAGCTGCTGGAGCTGCTGGAGACCCTGGAGCTCTTGGTGCCCCTGGAGCTCTTGGGGCCTCTGGAGCTCTTGGGGCCCCTGGAGCTCTTGGAGCCTCTGGAGCTCTTGGAGCCCTGGAGCTCTTGGAGCCCCTGGAGCTCTTGGAGCCCCTGGAGCTCCTTGAGGACCTGTAGCTCCTTGAGGATCCTGAGCTCCTGGAGCTCCTGTAGCCCCTGGAGCTCCTAGAGCCCCTGGAGCGCCTTGAGCTCCTGGAGCTCCTGGAGCCCCTGGAGCTCCTGGAGCCCCTGGAGTTCCTAGAGCCCCTTGTAGTCATGGAGCGACTGGTGCTGCTGGAGCCCCTGGACCTGTTGGAACCCCTGGAGCTATTGGAGCCCCTGGAGCTCTTGAAGACCCTGGAGCTCTTGGAGCCCCTGGAGCTATTGGGGCCCCTGGAGTACTTGGGGTCCCTGGAGCTCTTGGTGCCCCTGGAACTCTTAGGGCACCTGGAGCCCTTGGGGCCCCTGGAGCTCTTGGGGTCCCTGGAGCTCCTGGAGATCCTGGAGCCCCTGGAGATCTTGGAGCCCCTGGTGATCTTGGAGCCACTGGAGCTGTTGGAGCCCCTGGAGCTCTTGGGGCCCCTGGAGCTCTTGGGGCCCCTGGAGTTCTGGGTGCCCCTGGAGCTCTGGGGGCCCCTGGAGCTCTTGGCGCCACTGGAGCTCTTGGAGCCCCTGGAGCTCTTGGAGCCTCTGGTGCTCCTGGAGCCCTTGGAGCTCTTGGAGCCCCTGGAGCTTTTGGAGCCCCTGGAGCTCTTGGAGCTCTTGGAGCCCCTGGAGCTCTTGGAGCCCCTGGAGCTCTTGGAGCCACTGGAGATCTTGGAGTCCTTGGAGATCTTGGAGCCCCTAGAGCTCCTGGTGCCCCTGGAACTCTTGGAGCCCTTGGATTTCTTGGAGCCCCTGGAGCACTTGGAGCCCCTGGAGCTCTTGGAGCCCCTGGAGCTCTTGGAGCCCCTGAAGCTCTTGGAGCCCCTGGAGCTCTGGCAGCCCCTGGAGCTCTGGGAGCTCCTGGAACCCCTGGAGCCCCTGGAGCTCCTGGAGCCCCTGGAACTCTTGGAGCCCTTGGATTTCTTGGAGCCCCTGGAGCACTTGGAGCCTCTGGAGCTCTTGGAGCCACTGGAGCTCTTGGAGCCCTGGAGCTCCTGGAGCCCCTGGAGATCCTGGAGCCCCTGGAGATCTTGGAGCCCCTGGTGATCTTGGAGCCACTGGAGCTGTTGGAGCCCCTGGAGCTCTTGGGGCCCCTGGAGTCCTGGGGGCCCCTGGAGTTCTGGGGGCCCCTGGAGCTCTGGGGGCCCCTGGAGCTCTGGGGGCCCCTGGAGCTCTTGGCGCCACTGGAGCTCTTGGAGCCCTTGGAGCCTCTGGTGCTCTTGGAGCCCCTGGAGCTCTTGGAGCCCCTGGAGCTCTTGGAGCCCCTGGAGCTCTTGGAGCCTCTGGTGCTCCTGGAGCCCCTGGACCTCTTGGAGCCCCTGGAGCTTTTGGATCCCCTGGAGCTCTTGGAGCCCCTGGAGCTCTTGGAGCCCCTGGAGCTCTTGGAGCCACTGGAGATCTTGGAGTCCTTGGAGATCTTGGAGCCCCTGGAGCTCCTGGAGCTCCTGGAACTCTTGGAGCCCTTGGATTTCTTGGAGCCCCTGGAGCTCTTGGAGCCCCTGGAGCTCTTGGAGCCCCTGGAGCCCTTGGAGCCCCTGGAGCTCTTGGAGCTCCTGGAACCCCTGGAGCCCCTGGAGCTCCTGGAGCTCCTGTAGCCCCTGGAGTCCCTTGAGCCCCTGGAGCTCCTTGAGCCCCAGGGGCTCCAAGAGGCTCAGGGCCCCAGCCACAAGGGCTCCAAGAGCTCCAGGCGCTCCAAGAGCTCCAGGCGCTCCAAGAGCTCCAGGCGCTCCAAGAGCTCCAAGGGCTCCAAGAGCTCCAGGGGCTCCAAGAGCTCCAGGTGCTCAAAGTGCTCCAGGGGCTACAAGAGCTCCAGGGGCTCCAAGAGACTTGAAGTCTCAATGTTTCGGACCCGAGCTGGGGTCAGCATCGGGGAGGGTGGAGTGCAATGTGGAAGAAGCGTGATCGAATGTGCGTTTGGTCAAAGAGGGGGTCTTGAGATGGGTCTTGAAGGAGGCAAGGGAGGTAGCGAGGCAGAGTGACAGCTGCATGGAATTCCAGAGAATGAGTGGTGGAGTAGCTGAAGGCCCGCCCACCAGTGGTGAGGTGGGGAATATAAAGCAGGCCGGTACCCACTGAGCAGAAGGAGCAGGCAGATTGGTCGTGGGTTAGGAGGTCGCAGAGGTAGGGGGGGAAGCAAGACCATGGAGCTTTGAGGGTAAGGACCAGAATCTTGAATTGTATCCTCTGTGTGATGGGAAGCCAGTGGAGTTGGGCGAGGATGTGGGTGATAGGGTCACGAGCCTGATGCTGGAGAGGACATGGGCTGCAGAGTTCTGGATGATCTGCAGCCTGTGGAGGGAGAAGTTGGGGAAACCGACAAGTGGGGAGTTTGTATAGTCAAGCTTGGATGTTATGAATGTGTTTATGAGGGTTTCGGCGGCCTGTGATGTGAGACAGCGGCGGAGCTGGGTAATGTTGCAGAGGTGGGGGAAGGCAGAGCAGGTCATGGTGCGGATGTGGGGTAGAAAGGATAGTTGAGGGTCAAACAGACGCCCAAGCTTCCTGATTGTCTCATTAAGATGGAGTGTGCATCCTTCGATGGTGATGCTGCCAGGTGTGGAGGCGCTGACGTAAGCCAATCTGGAGGGTGTTGATCCTCTGAAGGTGGTATTGAGGGCACTCTGCGAGCAAAATAATCCTGCTCCAAGAAATAGATGGTACCAACACAACAATCACTATTTCACAACTTCAGTCTTTTTGTTCAGAGGTCGCTAGCAGGTCAGGAATGATCTTGCCTCCTAGCCCTATGGCTGGATAGTTCTCTTATCTTTGACACCATCTTGACATTGAAAACAAATTATCCCAATTCTCAGTGGCTGGGATCCTGTCTCTGTGAAGTCACTTTGATGCGGATGGACTGCACGTGCCTTTTATTTCTCATAAAAACACTGAGATCCAAACAAAGATCAGATTAGAATAGAATCAGTACAGAGGTTAAACTCATTCACTGAACAATTTTATCCAAATATTTTTAAATTAGCTGGTGGTAAATTGAAATTAAGCAAATCTTTTAATCAATGGTTGATAAGAAAAGTGCATTTTCTGGAAATGTTTTCAGAGGTTACTGAGTTTTATATAACATACTTACATAGATGCAAACTTGTTTTTTTATATTGGGGACTGTACCTGCAGCTGAGATTGATGGGAGAATAATCTTTTTGCAGTGTTCGTGTCACTTTTTCCCACACCCAAGATTTATGCACTTTTTATTATAAATCAAAAAAATTGCATTAATCTGAAGAATTGAACAAAGTATTTCATGATAAAAATGCATTTTTATATAATCTATTTGATATTATGATGTAAAGATATTAGTGTAAAACATAAAGATAAAGCTATGTAATATTAGTTCTCTATTATAATTTTTAAACTGACAGATGGATTCATATGATCCTGGGAGTGTCTGAGGATGATGCATAAGATTTCACGAATGGTACCAGGTGACAGCAACAACAGCTTGCATTTATATTGCGCTCCTTCACCTAGAGGAGGGATGGGGAGGAGGGAGGTGATTGGGGGCACAGTCAAAGAGATTGATTTTTAGTCTGATTTTGAAGAGAAAGGCAGCAAACTGGTGAGGTTGAGGGAGTTCCAGATGGAGGGATCATAGTGGCTGATCCTTCGATCAGCCTTTGATGGGCGGGTGGAAGGGGTGGGGGCCATGCAAAATTTGTCAAATGTAGTAGTAGGTAGGAAAGTGAGGCTGAAGAAGATTTCAGAGAAGGGAGGTGCGACAACACAAATTGATTTGTAAGTCAGGAGCCAGAGAGAAAGTGGAGTCCGGTGTGTATAGGGGATGATAAGTAGACAAAGGTTAATGCAGCAGGTAATGATGTGGACAACGGATCTTTGGATGAGCTAGATGGTGAAGCTGGGGAGAAAGACAAGGAGGGCATTTGAGACACCGAATAACAAAGGCCTGAATGAGGGTTTTAACAGCAATGGGTGTGGGATAGGGAACAAGGGGAAGGTGCCTTGGTCAGGGAGGAAGGAATGGAAGCTGAGAGTTAAACTAAATGCTAAGATTGCATAGTGAGAGACTGGGGTGGCATCCAGAAGAAATAATTATAATAATCCTGGCAATTGATATAGTGCCTTATCGAGTCTTTGAGATGTCTCAAAGTGCTTCATAGAATATACTGTAAAGTGAATTGACTATATTTTGTGAGCGAAAAAGCAAGGAATCATTGGTGGGATTTGAAGATATCCATATTCAGCTGAAGAAAGTTTATGCTCATCAAGGAAGTTGGTAGACCTGAAATCAAGGGTAGGAGTAGAGAAATATGTTTGGATGTCATTTGCATATATATGAAAACTTAATATTTGAGGATGAAAGTCACCAAAGGGGAAATGTAGATGAGGATGGGACCACAGGTGATTGTGCGAGAGGAGAAACTATTTGAGGAAACAAAGTGGAGGCGATGGATCAAATTGGATTGGAAATAGAAAAGTTTGGATCCACAGATGTAGATGCGAGAGAGGAGAGGCAATCGGAAGATTCAGTGGTCAACAGTGTTCAAAGAAATGGAGAGCTTTGAAGGATTAACTGGGAAGATAACAACAATAGATTACATTTGTAATGCACTCTCTGCACTCTCCACCTCTCAAAGCCAGTCAGGAACCTCGGCGTTTTGTTCGACCCTGAGCTGTCCTTTCTCCCTCACATCCGCACCACAACTGGCACCGCCTTCCATCACCTCCGGAACATCGCCAGACTACGGCACTACCTCACCCCTCACGCTGCTGAAACCCTGGTTCACGCCTTTGTCACCTCAAGGCTGGACTATGGGAACTCTCTCCTCGCCGGCCTTCCCGCCACCTCTCTCCACAAGCTGCAGGTCATTCAGAACTCTGCAGCTCGTGTACTGTCCCGCACCAGACACCGCGACCACATCACTCCCACCCTCGCTTGCCTCCACTGGCTCCCCATCCCCCAGAGGATTGATTTCAAGATCCTCATCCTCACCTACAATGCCATTCACGGCCTTGCTCCCTCCTACCTCTCCAACCTACTATCCCCCTACCTACCTGCCCGTACCCTCCGTTCCTCCGGCTCCGGTCTGCTCCACGTCCCCCGCCCCAATCGCCCTACCATTGGTGGTCGGGCCTTCAGCCTCTCAGCCCCGAGGCTCTGGAACTCTATCCCCCAGTGCCTTCGCCTTGCTTCCTCCCTCTCCTCCTTCAAGGCCGGTCTCAAAACCTTTCTCTTTGACCGAGCCTTCAGCTCCCCTCTCGACTCTCTTCCCCCTTCTCGCTCCCTCCCCTCACCCTGACCATTTCCCCCCTCCTCGCTCCCTCCCCTCACCCTGACCATTTCCCCCCTGCTCGGGTCATGACCCAACTGTGCAGCGCCTTGGGACGTCCTCCTGACGTGAAAGGCGCTTCATAAATGGAATCTTGTTGTTGTTGTTGTTGTATAACGCCTTTCACTTCGGGAGAATGTCCAAAGGTGCTGGACAAGCCTGAGAAACATTAAATTATGCTTTTTACTGGATCCATTATTTCCAGTACATTTCATGGTCGTCTCTTGTTGCTGTCAAAATCACTGGAGAGATCAGCTGAATCATTGACAAAGAGCCTTTAGAAGAAGATCATAACCTCCATTGCCGTCTTTCAGGGAAATTCAGAATGGAACTTGTAAAGAGTAATGAGGTGTTATCTTCTGTGAAACGTCCTGTACTTGTGTTTCTCATTCCATGCAGTTACGTTTGTATCTCCTGTACATTTTAAGATTGTGATTGCGGTGACATGTGTTTCAAGCTGTATTTTTCAGGGCTGAATGTACCCCATTTGTGAGGTCACGCCCAACCTCAGGACTTGGAAGTTGTGTTTCAGTCCAGTGTGTTTGGACTGTACACATTGCATTTCAGTGCTGTATATACAATGCTGTTTTTTCATGCGGTGTGTTCATTGGGCCTTGTGGTAGCTCTCATGTCTGACACTGGCTCCTACATCGCAAATCAGAAAGCATTCTTAGATTTTTGAGCCTTTTCATTATTCTTAATTTGAAAATCTTAAGTAAGCATTATTTATAAAATCAGTATCACTAGGTGAAACAATTTTTGATGTATATTTTATTTCAATAACAAAAATCGATGATAACTTTGCCATAGTTTGTTTTTCATTACAGAGAGGCCTAGTCTGGGTCTGCATTGCTTTACTTCCATCATTAAGAATATTAAAGGCTGAATAATTAAATATCCAATAGGTGTGTCTTCCAAGTACTGTGTTACTTTTAAGTGAACAATTTAAAGTAGCTCATGAACATATATACAAAGTCAGACTTTCCCATCATTGGCTAATCCTGCTTTGCTGTGAATTTAGCCACTGCACTCTGACTTTTTAATGTCAAATGGGTATTTTGTTTGGCTCCATGCTGTCTACCAGGCTGGTCATGTTAACCCTTTGTTTGCTCGGTACCTCCATAAGGACTGATAAGAGGGAGACTCCTAGATCTTAGATAAATAAGCTGGTGATTGAACTGAAAAACAGCCTGCAATTCACTCAGCAATGTGAGATTGTTGTGGGAAAACTGATTTCACACATAATTGTATTCCCTTAATCAAGAGCACAAGTGGAATCTTGTTAGCTGTTATTGCTGGAATGAAGAAATAAATTGCTCCTAATCAGACTTTCAGATTACAAGAATGCCTGAATTATTTGGAATGTATAGTATTTGGTTACTTGGGGGTTGATATTTGTTGGTCTCACTCCATTTTACATCACAGGTATATTCATATTGAGATGTTACTTTCTTTGTTATAATAAATTGCATTATTAGTAAGAAAGACAATTATTTGGGATTCATTTCAACTTTAGCTTCCTAAATATTGGTGAAAAGTCAAACTACCAAACTAACTGCATTGACCATTCAGAAGGATTTTCTGTCTTAACTTGTAACTTGCATACTATCGTCATGGTGTGCATCATATGCAAAAAGGTATTTTCAAATGACATTTATCAAATGGAATTTGTTGATTTCAATCAACACATTCCCTGTCTAAGGTTCTGAATGTGCATTGTAATTACGTAGTTTGTCTCACAATAAACATTGTTAATATTTATATTAGTAATAATGAGCTTCAAATTTATGCTTCATTAAAATATCAACAATAGTCTTTTCAACTATCTCTCACCATGAATAGCTACAACATAAATTGCAAATGCGTAAAAACAGACATATTGTGAAACATCTAAAGTTTAAAGCATTCACCTAAGGGAGAACAAAATTTAGTTTTACACTTCCTGTTCATTAAATTGAAATTGAAATTACATCCACTTATATAGAAATGGCTTGATTTGGGTAGTGAACATTTATAACTTTTGGGAGAAAACTTGCAATATATGATTAAATACTACACATTTATGTCTTGTGTTCAATTGAAGTGATGAAACAATGGTTGAAAACAACTGATATTTTGCTTTTTTTAAGTTGAGTATTTGAACTTGATTTGATTTGCAGTTTGACTAGTTATAAGCATTTCTATCTTAGAAACATTTTAAAGAAAGCATCAACATTGAAAGCAGATTCAACATTTAACTTAATTATTTTAAAATGATTTATTATAACTTGGATTGTTGGCATGCACAAAGTGGGTATTGTATGGAAAGCTTTCGCTTTAAAGTACTAACTTTCCATTTTTTTTTATGAAGAGAGATCAAGAGTTTTCAGAATAGAGCACTTCCTGTTGAGCAATGTCCATCTCTCTCACACCAGGTAAACCTGGGAAACATACAAGCTTTTATTTACATTTACTATGTACCTCTTGACTACAGGTTTACAAAAGCACCCGTCCTGTTCCAGTCTGATCCTTTCCATTATTTTATTATTCAAATCATCAATCCTTATGGTAGTGGAGTCCTGTAGTGTATTGGTAAGAACACACAACTCACAAACAAGAGGACCTGGGTTTGATTCCAGGACAGGACAAAATGTTAGGCGCATGCCTCTCTTTACCTAACAGTAAGTAGGAAGCTGGTTGTTAGTCGATAAGGAGATTGGTTTACCGGTGATAATAATTCCTTAAAAAAAAGTAATGTATGGAAGTGTTTCGCCTAAAAATGTACCATCAATTTACTTTACAGTATATTCTGTGAAGTGCTTTGAGACTTCTCGAAGACGTGTTTAATTAATCTGCCATTAAAGAGAAAATAATTTTTGATGCGTCTAATGGATAAAGCATATTTGATGAATTAATTAACCCCTTTCCAACCCAAATTTGACTTAGTTTAAAGGAATTGGAGCAGATGTTTGGCAATACATTGCCCCATTAGCAAATGCTGGATTGTCATAATTTTCCACAATGGGAGGAATGTGAAGCATTTTCAGATGTCCTGCAAAAGTTAAAAAAGCATGATATCAAATGGAAAGATTAGTAAAATTATTATTATATACACAGCATATAGGGAGAGGGAGGGCTGCTTTTACACACACAGTACCTGAGGCTACGTTTATGTAAACGGAAAAGCAGAGTGGGGAACTGTATATTTTGTCAGTGAATGCAGCAGTCAATTTGCATACAGCAATATCTCAGAAACAGCCGTAAAGTGAACTAACCAATTTTATCTGGGGGATTGTTGGCTAGGACAACGAATGAATCTTCCTTCTATTTTTGAATAATGCCATGGCATCTTTTAACATTCATTTGAACAGGCAGATGGGACTTGATATGTTAATGTTCCAACTGAGGGAACAATGCAGCAGCCTCCTAACACTGTGGCAAAAAGTCTACCAACTGAGCCAGGCTACCACCCAAGTGTAACAACCTTGTTGTACTTTATGTGCAAGGGAAGCCCCACCTGCTGTTCTGTGTGTGCAAGTGCTGATCCGCCCACAATATTTCTGAAATACTCCTCAGTGGTCTCCCTGGCCTTGCCCATTTGAGATCCAGCTTACCTAGACTTCTACAACTCTTTGAGCTGTTTCTCCATCAGCCCATTCTTCCCAAGCTCCACTGGCTTCCTGTTCCCTGCTGACTAAATTCAAGAGCCCTCATTCTAACTTTCAAATACCACACCTTTGCCCCACCTGAATCAGCAATTTCCTTCAGCCACATACTTCCTCTGGGCTGCAAAATTAGGCCTGCTACATGTACCCCACCTCCTCCATCCATTATTTGTATCTGAGCTTTCAGTCGTTACGTTTCAGGAGGAAATTCCTGCTCTCTGGAACCCAGCATGCACAGTCCCGTTCTCTCTTAAAAACTTTTCTAAAAGCCTAACTCTTGGACCATACATTTGGTTGACCTCCTATCCATTCCCACCTTGCTATGGTTTCCATTTTTTTTCTCTTGATTTCTTTTCAGATGTTAGAATGTGAATGTATTATGTAAAAAGTTGCTACGTGAGTGCGTCAGGTGCTGACACTGCTGTGCTGTTGTATAACCTCTGCTCTGCCATGTATATATGAATATTAATATATATTCATATATGACTGAAACTATTCCACACTTGAAACTGGAGCTACCAATAGTGCTGTGTTCCAAACAGAAATTTATATTCACCAATCTAAATTCAAATGGTGAATATATCATGTTATGTAAAACCGCATTCAGATATCAAGTTATTGTCCCAAAGTGTTTGGGAAAGTGGAAGGGAATTTGATGAAATCCTAAATATACTGAACTGATGTGAATGGCTTAAGGTAGACAGATATTGCCACAGATGTTAAACAGAACTGGGCTTGAATTCCAAAATAGATTTAACCTGACAGCATTGTGACAGATGTTTGCAACCCACCAATGAACATTTTTTCCATTTAAAGTTGTAGTGTTTGTTTGTGCTCTGATGCGCTGTCAATAACATGTATGACCAAATATTGAATTTAATGAAGTCTGACATAATCATACCGTTCATCTTTGCTGTCCACGGCCAATAACTAGAGATGCTTGGTTGATGTGGCATGTCCCAACAGGAGAATCAATAGCTGAGAAGTTTCAGCTGAAGAGAGCACGTGTGCAATTTAGTTACACATTTGGCAGAATAATAGAAATATTCAGGAAAAATAAAATATTCCAAGAAAATTAATTATTTACTTGGCTTCAACAACTAACTGTAATATGAAGAGACAACATTGAATTGTGCCATTATTGCTATCACTAATGGCTCCCTTTGTAAATTCCCTGTTGACACCAGCCAAGTTTAAGGGAAAGACTTCCCAAACCCTTGCCAGAGATTGTAGCCCTTCCCATACTACAAATATTTTGTGTGACTTGGTGAACAGCGATTGGAAAATTCACCTTTCAGTCCCTTTTGCTAATAACGGGGCACTGCCTTTATCACGTGCCACACTATCCGCGATCTTGCATATGTTGACGTCACTTAACTAAACCCTCAGGTCTAGAATGGGGCGATAACAAAACATAGCACAAAAATACCGTGAGCAAAATCCTCTTAATCCTTTTGGGCCTGGTCAAATGCTTATTCTGTCAAAACGTATGGCAGATGGAAGTTGAGATTGCGATATACAAAATGTAAGCGCTCTGAGACGCTATCCTGTGTGAAATGCGCTATATAAATGTAAGTTATGTGTGCTGGGCGAGGAAGTTGCCCTGATCTCCGGAAGGACTTGCGTAACATCGCTTTAAACAAAAACTGTGCTCAGTGTTCTGTGCTTTAAATCATTCGCTCCTAGACCCAAGTTCAAACGTGTATTTTTTTAAAGTTTAAAACAATTTTCATTCCATAAACTGTTATGGTATTAGGTTAGAGGCTTTGGGACGGGATCCAAATTTGTTGACGTTCTGCGAGTGATGTGGAGGTGCTCATTTATAAAGGTGGATATTATCACATTGTTCATCAACTCATTGGCTCATAGGATTAAACATTTACGATAGTTTACAGTCTTGCCGTTTCTGAAGGATCCCAGCCCACCTGAAACCCACCTCCTAGCGCTGTTTCATTATAATACACACAAGCGGTGTTTAATTGGTGCCATTGATGGACATAAGCAATAGTGTGAAGTGAGCTCAGAGGTGAGGAGGCCTTTGGATTTGTAATGTCAGAAACTGAAAGCTGATGTCAAAAGCAATCTCAGCAGGTCCCAGAGAAGAGAATCAGTTTTGAGAGAATGAGCATCTCAATTACTTGAAAACAGTCAAATAAAAAATAGTTATCCCTTAGAAAAATAGACTGCTCTAGAATTCATATTTATAAATTCAAAAATTCAACCAAATTGTCTCTTAGCAACATTAGTTATGGTTTTGACATTAATACACAAACTGGCATAGCTAGTGGTGCCGAATACATTTTCATTCATATTATTTTGCAACACTATTTTTATTCATCTGAAAATGATTGAATGCTAAAAGTCATAACATGCTTTGCTATAATTTTGTGGCAAACCATTCCTCCTAAATAAATTTTGATATTAAAAATAGTTCAAATTCAAATATTGCTGTTACTATAAATTTTCCAAAGATTGAGAAATTCAGCACAAATTCCAGAGAGGTCAGTTGTGATTTTACTGCTTAAAGTTCTTTCGCTGGATTGGGTATAAAGGTCCATGAAACACTGAAAAGATACCACGACTCAAACTTTTAAGCTTTAATATTCGCCGCAGCTGGATCCATGTTTGAGGTATCCACATGTTGTAATATCTCAGCATTTACACAACCCATTCCTTCGGGAAAGCAGCAAAGGTTGGAATTCGATGGCTACATCATTGCAAGTAGTTTGTGAGTTTTGCTGGAATGTAACGTCTATTTTTAATAATAATAATAACATTTAGCTTTAGACCGCCTAACCATCTCCGCAGTTCCAATGAAGAAAGATTAATATTTCTCCGTTTCACTAAAATTTATTTTAAATTAAAAATTGAAATTTGTATTCTTTAAAGAATGTAATCAAGTTTTGTGAATATCTTGATCCAATTTCATACTTATGGGAAATGGCAGAATTTCCCCTCTAGAGCAAGAATGTTCCCGGCTCTGAATCGATCCAAACAAATACTTGGTGTTACATACACTAAAGCGCTCCGAGACACCGTCCGGTATGAAGGGCGCTACATAAAGGGCGCAAGTTGTTGTTGGTGGAGGTGGTTAGTGCACGAATTAACAACACTTGGAAGTACAACCGCCTATTATACTACGCTGCAAACAAAACTATTTGAAATTGTAGTTAAAAACTTTTATTTAAATAAAGTTTTCAATCGCACGTCCACGATTTGCAACTTTTGTTTGGAGAAAAGGGGAGCAGGACGCAACATTCCCTTCAAGCCTTTGGAAGTTGCTGCTCAATATCGCTGTCAAAATATGTTAGAAACGCTCTGGTAGATTATATGGATGACCACAATCTCGATGTAGCATTCGGATGAGTTAGATAAAATGTATGAACCCTCCCCTCCCCCGATTGTTTTCTGTCAGAGAATTCCAATTTCTGTGTATAATTCCAATTTCAAGATCGATTTTTTTGGACAATTTTTTAAGCCAGAGCTGGCACTTTATCTCTGGCTATTGTGAATCATACACTTTTGACAAATTGCAGTACCAGTGAAAACAATATTTTAAATGGTTATTTTTCCCTTTTCGCAGTCCTTAACTTAAGAGGATATAACATTGCACATAAATAGTCCTTGAAGTGGTTTGATGCCCAGTCTGGAAGCTTAGCAGGTTTCTGGGATCAGGTCCAGTCCTTTTGAGTCTGAACAAAGTTGTGAAAGTTTTCAGTTTGACTGTCACTGATTGAGCTCCAGAGCCCAGACCTGCTGTGGCCAGCCCGTCCGCCCTTTCATCTTCTTGTCACTGCCCCTAATGGAGCCGTTTACTATTTCATTCTAGGTATAAAAACAAAATAGTGTTTAAAGTGATTTCGGTACATTCGTGAAGGATCTATATAAAAGTCATATTTATAACGTATTTGGTTGTTGTGGAAACAAACCCATCTTAACTGGAATAACCAAAGTAACCAAACTCACATTAGTTCAGTTTCTTTTGTACAAATGAAATGAATGGAATAGCAGAATTCTACGTTGAGATTATCTAAATATTATCCATAAGGTACTCTCAATACTCTTCTCAGTGGTGGAACGATTTGTTTAATATGTTAAAAAAAACAGTACACAAACTAATCTGGAAAGGAAAGCAATTTGATATGAGAACGTTTCGATTGTTTATTAGGTAAATAACCTAATAAGCAATGTGCACAAATCGCTGTGGGATTATTAAATCAACCAAATATTGACTCTTTAAAGAATGGAAATCTGGTATGAGCTGGATCGCCGCACTGTTCGCTGTAATTTACTCGGGTGAACATTTCGGGTATGATAAGAATTATAATTGTTGGGTGGTACAGAGAAAACAACAAAGGACCATCAGATTTCCAAACTGCCCTGAAAATCATTCTGGACAATTTTACGAAAACTTAGTACAGTAATTCCTGCTATCTTTCCATTCAATTATGAAAATGATGCAACACATTGCAATAAAATTCACGAACTAAATTACACTGGTGTAAATTCATAAGTGTTGGGTTTATATGTTATATCCTCTCAACAAAAAATACACTCGTCCTTAATCACATAATCTCAAATTCCAGTAAACAACAACATCAGCATTCAAGACGCAGAATATTTAAATTCGAGAATTATGAACGTTTACCAAAAAAAAGCGATAATCTTAAATTGATAGTTTACATGGTTTCACTCTTTCAATATTTGTATTTCAGATTTTTTTACATTGTAAAGATAGTTTAGATTCAAAGATGTATATTTAGCAATTAGGAACTACCCGAATGATTAAATATGAGGGTTCCAAGATTCAACGGTTATTAGTGTTTCAGGCATTGGTTTCATTAATTGGGTTCAGTTCCTCAATAATTGTTTCTACCGTCCACATCCTATTTTGATGAGAGTTGGAAAATGTAACATTTTGTTTAACTTTACATTTATTTACCTGTTTTAAGAGATATGAATACCCATATCTTGTCAATCTAGTTTACGGTAAAGTGTAACATGTTATGTGTTCACTGAAAAACACGTGTACATAATCGAAACGGATTTGACATCTAAACGCGGTAAAACGTTGTCTGGTCAAAAGCTACAGAATCGAATTGAACTAACTTCAATTTAGTTAGTTAAAGTTTGGATAATTCTTTCATGTAAATCGTGAGCTTTTTACCATTTCTCGTTTGCGTTTCCCTTCCTTGCTGTCTATTTTCTTGAGATCTGCTTTGAAAGCCTCAGTCTCTCCATTCTGGGTGTCTTTCGCCAGAAGGTCCATGAGATAAGCGATGTAACTAGTTGCCAGTCTCAGCGTTTTGATTTTAGACAGTTTGGTATCTGCCGGAACATTCGGGATACATTCTCTTAACTCAGCAAACGCACTGTTGATGCTCTCGGTCCTGCGTCTCTCCTTCTTCGGGATCGCGGTTCCTCGTCGCCTCCCAGGCCGATCTGCAACCGCCCCAAAGCGGCCTGGCTCCTGCGCCGATCCGCTGATCCCATAGTCCGGGCTGTAGGAAGGCTGTCCCGGGTAATCGGGAGATAGTTCTCCCTGGTTTAACACCCAGCTTTGGAAGAAGGGATGGTCTTGGTGGCAACGACTATTTGTGGCAAATGGGAAACCTTCATGCATTAAAGGATGATGTTGGAAACCTCCAACTAAACTCATGTTGTCGAATGGAGATTCAGTGCAGGATCCGAGCTATTCAAATGCGCAATTCCAAACTCCAGATCCTTAAAATGTAAAGTGCCTTTTGAGAAATCTACTCGCCATGGGCGATTCCAGCTCTATTCCTGTTATCCGACTCTCCCAAATATTTCTTTTACCAGTTTTTATCAGTGTCTTTTACAACTTTATTTCCTCCGTGTTTTCCGCCTCGATGCTTACAGGTACGTCTATGCTTTGCTCGAATTGCACAGTTTAACCCTTCAGTTAATTCCAAGTTATATAGTAGAGTCTCAATCCATGTGAAGTATTACAACCAATAGACCAAGGAGCAGTGGAGTGGGAGGAGACTGATAGGGCCGTTTACTTTACTAAATACTTTGTTTCTTTAGGCAATTGGTCACGTTTCTAATCGCTTCAGAATGAAAGAGATACGAGGTGAAGCGCAATGAATGTGAGGATTCGGAGAATAAGTAAAGATTGACACTAGAATAAGATGGATTTATATTATATTCTTTCCCAGTGTTTTAAATAATCCTAATCTCGTTTCTGTCAGTTATTTCCCGATTCGAAACGGAACTACCACAATTTCAACCCTACCACGCAGATACCGAACCCCTAACCCCAACCCTAATTCTGAACCCCAACCCTCACCCTATTTAATGTTTATCAACAGCAACAACAACTTGCATTTTTAAATTTCAGTGAATTTATGGTTAGGGTGATTCTTTAGTGACTTGAAAAACCTTGATAGATGCAGCAAGATCACTGCTACTGCCATTGATTTTTTAAATTAAAATATTACAAATTAAAATAGACAACCTTTTCAAACCGTTTAGCATTTACAATATTGTAATCTAAATTATTATATTCATGTTAAACAGGAAGTATGTTTTTACTTTGAATGTATCAGACCTTATTGAGAAATTACATCAAGTTCCATGGAACAGTAACAAACATTTAACAATATAGTAAATTGCTTCTAAGCTGTTGTTGACAATAGTCTAACAGCCATGTAACTGCAGGATCCACATGAAATGAGTTACGCCTCCTTGGTTAGTGAATGGTATGACTAAAATTGTACCAAGAATAAATATGTTATAGAGTAAGATATGGAAAAAATGCTCCACCACTGCCTCTCCCGACAGGCTGTTGAAACCCTATCCATGCATTTATTACATTTAGGCTCAACTATGCTAACCCGTATCAATTTGTCAGCTCGCTCCACTGAGCAGCCTCTGGCCTGCTCCACGTGGCCTGCCTGGTCCACCCCACCATCAGCGGCCAGGCCTTCAGATTCTGCCGCCACCCTTTGGAACTCCATTCCACAGTCTCTTCATCTTGCTCCCTCCCTTGCCTCCTTCAAAGTACATCTCAAGACCCTCCTCTTCGACTGCACATTCAGCCACCATCGTACTCCTACCCTCCCTGCCCTCCACTCCTTTGATCTCAACTCCTGCTTGGGTCCAAATCCCTGACTGTCCAGAGCTTTGAGACATCCTCCCAATGTGAAAGGCATTTTACACATGTAAGTTGTTCTTCTTAAAGTGTAGTTGCTGCTTCATAGTTCCATGCTTACAAATACATAGTCACTGTCCTTTACAGAAAGCTTTGTGAAGCATTCTGCGAGATGTTTTAAGCTCTCCCAGATGCAGTCTGGCTTGAAGGGCGCTATATAAACCCAAGTTGTTGTTGTTTTTGACATGATGAGGTGCTTTGCCAAATGCAAGTATCTTTATATCAGAGATATAAGATTTATATATATATTTATATATATATAAGATATAAGATTTATAATTTATAAGATAATAATGATAATCTTTGCATTGGATGTAGCACCTTATCATATCATCAGTGTCTTGAAGCACTTCACTAGAATTACTGTGAGAGTGGTGGTTATGTATTTTGTAGGAGTATACAGTTGAGAACCCATTATCTGCACTAATTGGGATAAGCCTAATTGTGGATATGGAACAAGGGTCAATCAGAATACTAATTGGCTGCACTGCTAACTGAAATTGTCTTCTTTTGGTAGTTATTTTTGCCCACAAAATATACAGTCAATTCACTTTACAATATATTCTGTGAAGTGCTTTGAGACATTCGAAGACGTGATAAGGTGCCATATCAAATGCAAGGCTTATTATTATTATGATACTGTCACACTGTACTAACTCTTAGTTAGTACTGTACTCTGTCTCTCTGTTTTTTTTCTCGCTCTTTCTTTCTCTCTCTGTGATACTCCTCGAATTTCTTTTTCCCTCTGACACTTTCATTCTCTCCCTGAGTTAAAATCATAGAAACCATAGACATTTAAAAATAAAAATAAATCATTGCATTTCATATGGCACCTTTCACATCGGGCACCTATGTCTGACACTCAATCAGACAGAACAGCAGTGGAGTCACCGGTACAGACAGAGAGATAGAGTTGAGTGCCCTCAGTGGGCACGTGCAAATGGACCTTATGTCTGTGGATTTGGTGACTCATTATCTGGCCACTGCTCTTTGCTGCTTCTCTAAAATGCCAAAATGTCCTGACTACAATATGACAACCAGAATTGTATACAGTACTGCAGAATTCCACATAGCCTGTAAACTATCAAACAGAATTATTAAAAAAAACTTAAAAGTCAGTCTTAAATGGAAGCTGGATTCCTGCAGTTCTTAATAAGAACTGACTTTCAAATTAAAATTGTTTGTCTTTTAAAAATCTGCCTATTCTTAACATTTGAGATAAAATTCATTTTTTGCTTCATGGCTGTTTGTGGGACCTTGAAGTGCACAATACCGCTGCCACATTTGCCTACTTTTGTTGGTGTAAATAGCAGCCAATTTGCACGCAACAGTGTTCACAAACAGTCATAAAGTGAATTTTATCTGTTGGCCAGGACACCAGGAGAAACTTCCTTCTCATTTTCAATACTATAATATAATAAATTGGTCACTTCAATCCACGACTGTTTGTGGGACGCTGCTGTGCGCAAATGGCTGCCGCGTTTCGCCCACAAATATACAGTCAATTCACTTTACAGTCTATTCTGTGAAACGCTTTGAGACGTCGAGAAGATGTGAAAAGTGCTATATCAAATGCAAGGATTATTATTATTATATTGTTCGATGCAATCTTTAAAGTCCACCTGAACAGGCAGATGGGACTTTGGTTTAATTTCTCATCCCAAGGACTAAACCTCTGACAATGCACTCAAGTGCAATCTTCCTTAAAGATAAAAAGATTAGAGCTTTTAATTCCTAAGTTTATTTTTTGTGATATTTAGTGAAGTTGCACATCACAAATTACTGTTTTATGGCCCCTCAACAGGTTTAACCATTTTTTTCACCTTCAGGTGGCAATGGCTGTTTTATGTTGTTGGTGTATGTATGTGTGTGTCTATCTGTGTGTGCTTGTCTCTGTGCGTGTGTACATTATGCCTCTGTTTGTATATGTAACTACATAGATACACATAAATATAAATTATTTATAATGTATCATTCTGACAAAAAGATTGTAAACTAGTTCTCACCGTATTGTGCCTTCATGTATGGAAATTTCCTTATGGAAATTATTTTTCCAAAAGATTTCTGCAGGACACACACTGAGGGGCGGAGAAGACTTAGGACACAACCTTAGTTCATTAGTTCTAATCGGCTGTTTTACTTCCTCCGTTCTCAGTTAGACACAAATATGATTTATGCTCTTTGCTGTTTTCTTCAAAAATGCATTTTGTTGACAGTCCTTTAATCATCATGCTTTATTGTGAAATGGCGATTGTTTTGTTTTCCTGCAAATCTTTATGTCTTAATTGTTTCAACCAATGTTCAAATGGGATCTGCAATTTCAAGACGAAGCTATACCTTGTAGCATGTTGTTATGTGACTCTCAGCTGCTGCAGCCGGAGATGTGCTTTTAGCAACTTTTGAAAGGAGCCAGGAAATATGGTCACCGAGTGTGATCAACCGAAAATAATCCATATTGGAATAACAAGGTGTTTTACAGGAAAGTGTCGGATCCTGTTAATGTTTAGAACTACAAATGTAGTTCTGCAATGTGTCTTTTGATTTTAACTTGCTGCGATTTGGTAGAAAAGGTGAAAGGTCGGAGATTCCACGATGGTCTATAAATTACAAATGTAACATCGGGAAACCTCAGTCATTTGGCCGAAAGGACTTTAGGTGTAGATGAAACTGGATTAAAGCTATTGCCGTATTTGTGTTATGATACCGGTATATTTATTTCAGCAGATTTGATAATATTATTAAATGTACATTAAATACAAGTGGATCTGTCTGCATAATTTTGCAAGATCTTTTGATGGAATCTATTAAACTGACACTGATTGTGGCATACATTTCTAAAGTTGAACAAGAGTGATGCGAGCACTGGGAATGAAGTGAAAAAGTGCATACTCGCTAAACTGCAGAGTTTTTGTGAGATTGGGTTAGTGAATTTGTCCGAAAGATAGTGTCTGTAATTACTCAGTGAGCTTCAACAGGGTTGGGGCATTAGGGTTTATTTGTTAAAATACATTTTAATCAAGTAAACATCTCAAATGTGATCCAAATACTGAATACAATTCCCTGTATGTCAGAACTCAGTAACTCGCTTAACATTGCAAATGCTGAAGTTATTAAAAGTGGGATTTATGGAAAAACACACCGCTTTGATAGGGAGTAAGGCATCTCAGAATTGGGGAAGAAATAGTGCTTCAAAATGCACAGGGTTTTGGGAAGTGATCGTTTTATTTCAGGTGACAAAATATTTTATATAAATCAAAGTATCGACAAATTGAATGTGGTCATGAACGAGTCTTAAATTCAAACCATAAAGTTTGAACCCAAACGTCTGTATGTTATTACAGATTAGGAGTGAAAAATAATTCAGAAGTCACTTTCAAAGTGTAAGTGTAAATGATATGAAACGCTCAATCATTCAACCAAACAGACTTTTGATTTCTGAGTTTTGTATGTGGCAGTTCAGTCCCAGCAATAGAGTTTTCTGTAAATATCCCATACACGTATCTATTCTGAGAAAACGAGCGCAATTTTCAACTGTAATTAGAATTTCCAGATCTTTTGAGTTTGGACCATCTCTGTCGCCGATATAATAAACAATCTCTCGGGTTAATTGAGAATTACATTTGTGCTTCTGTTTATAAAAATAAACCACTTACAAGCTTCAATAATTTGTTTCCAAAGTTAACCCGAAACTGCGATTTCTGCAGATGTTACTGTAGCCCGAGCCGCACTGGTGTGAAACTGTTTTATAAATACACAGAATGCGG